GAGGGGGAGAAGGCTTGGGAAGCGAGGGGGAGAGGTGGGGGGAAGCGAAGGTGGCGGGAGGGGTGTGGAATGGACGGGGGTTTGGAAGGCGATCGCCTGTGCCCGGCAAAGATGCCAGTCAGGCCGACGATGGTCATCGAGTTGAAGACGGCGGCGACGATAGCGTGAAGGATGCGCGCACGCCAGCCTCCGCCGTTGGGGTCGCAGTCGCCCGTGGGCTGGGGCGGAGGGTCTTGGGAGCCGCTGTGCGTCGGCGCGCGCTGTGGGTGTCTTCTCGGTGCGTGTCAGATCTAAGATGGGGGTCCACAGTGCGCCGGCAAACCTGGTGTCGTCGCCTACACACGCACACAGGGGGTAGCGTGAGAGGGCTGGGCGTGAGAGGACTGGGCGTACGTACGAGAGATCCTGTCAGGGACGATGATGATGTCAGGGATACGATGTTCCGGCACCACTCAAGGGTACTCCTATCGTACTCCTAGCGAGGCGCTTGTAAAATTCTTTTTGCTTCCCTGTCGTGGGTGCCGTCATCACTCTGTTCCGCGCGGCGGCTCGTGCGCGCTCTCTCTCTATCATGCTGCGCCGAGGGGTGAGGATCCTGAGGCGATTGACACAAAGAAGCAGCTCAAAAAAGAAGCAGCCAGGAAGACCAAAGCGCCCACAAGAGCAAGTCCGGGCCGTCGAACCGCAGGTCCAGCTCATCGAGCAGCACAGCAAGTCGCCATGATATCTAGCTAGCCGTGTGTGCTGGTGTCCGGGTTCGGAGACGCCTCAGCAGATCAGTGGGCGCGGCGCGCCTTCGTTGTTTAAAAAAACAAACGGATTCTGTTGTATTTTGACGCGAGTTAAATTCTTTTTAGTGCCCAGTGTCGTGCGAGGGAGTTTGGTTGTAAAATCTTTTTAGTTTTTAGAGCGCCCTTCGTTGTTAAAACCACACAGACCGACCCGTGCTTCGCTCATGCTTCGGGCCCCCTCCTGACTGAACGATTGACCCTGGATTTTTTAATCAGCGGGCGCTGAGAGAGCTCGTTGAGAGCGGTCTAACGGTACCTTTCTGTCCTCCAGAGTCGAAGAACTCGACCGGTGGCTGGCCGCCAACTCGACCGGTGGCTGGTATTTGTTGAGCACTCTCTGGTCACCTTCGCCGGGCGAGCCTGGCTCTCGCTAAAACAGCGGCGCGACCCGCGGCGAGGCTGCCGATCGTCGAACTGGGCTTAGCTCTTAGTCAAGATATGGTGCATATGGTCGGTCTTGACTGTGAGTTGGGGCGTGCGCGGGCCGCACACACTCCGGGGACAGAGAAGGACGAGCTTCGCAGGTTGCAGCAGAGTCTAGGTGCCTCTTGAAGTCCTGAGAGTGCTTGTGTGTGCGGTGAGCTCCTGTGAACTTGTGAGCACAAGCATCAAAAGCTGCGTGCAGGTTGCCTTAAGCGTTAAGGCCACATTTTTTATTTCATTGAGCATATGCTGGCGATCCCGTGTTTCGCTCCTGGCGTCTCGCTCGCCCCTGGCGTGCAGCACGGCGCCGCGGCTGGCGCCGCGAGCCGCGCCGGCGCGCCGGTGCTGCAGGCGACCAAGCTGCGCATCGAGACCCCGCCGGGCGGCGCGGCCGAGCTGCTGCGTGCGGCTCCGAGCTGGACGCCGGCGCCGGGCGAGCACGACATCCTGCTCCGCGCGGCGCGCGGCGAAGCGGTGGAGCGCACGCCGGTGTGGCTCATGCGGCAAGCGGGCCGCTACATGGCCGCTTTCCGCGAGTACTCCACAAAGTACCCCTTCCGTATGCGGAGCGAGACGCGCCCGCCACCCCCTCGACTGCTATAGGAGCCGAACCCTGTGGCGACGAGTACGGCCACGAGTCCACTCTGTGAGCAGCCTGCCACCGCCGGGGAGCCTGCCATAAATCTCGATGCCACGCAGACAGGGTCGCAGCGGCGGCGGCGATGCCGACGAGCTGGCTGAGCTGCGCGAGCGTGTCATCTCGGAGGCGCCCGAGGCCGGCAGCAACCCGCTCCTCACCGATGCGGAAGAGGTCGAGGCGGACGGCAAGGTGACCTTCTCTCGCGCGCGCCGCTTTTCGGAGCTGCCGCTCTCGCGGCGGACGCTCGCGGGGCTGGCCAGGGGCAAATGGGAGAAGATGACCGACGTGCAGCGCGCAACCATCGGCCACGCCCTCGCTGGGCGCGATGTGCTCGCAGCAGCACGCACCGGTTCAGGCAAGACGCTCGCGTTCCTGGTGCCGCTACTCGAGCTGCTGTGGCGCGAGCGGTGGAGTGCGCTCGACCGGCTGGGTGGCCTCGTCGTCTCGCCGACCCGCGAGCTCGCTCTCCAGATCTTTGACGTGCTGCGCACGCTCGGCCAGAAGCACGACCTGTCTGCTGGGCTCGTGATCGGAGGCAAGGACCAGCAGGAGGAGGCGGCGCGGATCGCGCCGATGAACATCCTCGTCGCCACGCCAGGCCGGCTGCTTCACCACATCGACCAGACGGCCGCCTCCCGACCTCTCGACGCCTCGGAGGCGACACCGTCCGCGACATGTCGTCCGCGACGTGTCCCATAGGCCGGCTTCGACCTCTCGAACGTCAAGATGCTCGTCCTCGACGAGGCAACGCCGAGATCGGGCTGAGATACGGCCGGGATACGGCCGAGAAGATGAGGCTGTGGTACGGCTCTTCCTGAGCGGCCTTCCGAGACCTTCCCTGGAACCTGACCACCAGCCCGTCGCCCCATCACTCCGCCTTTAGGCCGACCGGCTCTGCTCGAATTGAATGAGGAGTGAGCCCGTCATTAAGTGAGGAAGAGGCTCACTGCCCCCTCAGGCCGACCGGCTGCTCGACCTCGGCTTCAAGCAGACGATGGCGGCCATCCTCGAGGAGCTGCCGCGCAAGCGGCAGACCCTGCTCTTCTCGGCAACGCAGACCAGGCGCGTCGCCGACCTCGCCTCCCTCTCCCTCTCGGAGCCGCAGTACATCTCGGTGCACGCCGCCTCGAAGACGGCCACGCCGACGCGGCTGCAGCACCACCACATGCTGATCGAGCCGGAGCAGAAGCTTGACGTGCTTTGGGGGTTCGTGCGGTCCCACCTGCAGGCCAAGACCATCTGCTTCCTCTCCTCGTGCAAGCAGGCGGCCGCGGGCCGCCCTCTTCAAACCGCGGCTCGAGCTCGGCTCAATCGCGGCTCAGCCCAGGCTCCATCCCGCACAGGTGGCCTTCGTGCATGCCGCTTTCTCCGCGCTGCGCCCGGGCGTCTCGCTGCTCTGCCTGCACGGCCGGCAAAAGCAGATGAAGCGGCTGGCCGTCTACACTGAGTTCTGCGCAAAGAAGCACGCGGTGCTGTTTGCGACCGACGTCGCCGCGCGGGGGCTCGACTTCCCGACTGTGCAGTGGGTGGTGCAGGCCGACGCGCCCGAAGACGTTGCCACCTATATCCACCGTACTGGCCGCACGGCGCGGCACACCGCCAGCGGCCGCGCGCTCCTCCTCCTCTCGCCCTCCGAAAAGGCCTTCGTTGACCAGCTCTCGGCCGCGCGCATCGCGACGCAGCGGCTGCGACCGAACAAGCAGCAGGCGGACGCCGCGCGCGCCCAAGCCGCAACGGCCGTTCGAGAGGTTCACTGTTTAGGCGTGAGCAGGTGCACGCCCTCGCGCCAAAGCTGCGCGCGTTGCTCTCGCAGCGCGCCGACATCAAGTACACGGCGCAGCGCGCCCTGGTGTCGTACGTGCGTTCGGTCAAGCTGCAGGCGGACAAAGCGGTGTTCGACGCCTCGTCGCTGCCGCTGCAAAAGCTCGCCGAGAGCTACGGCCTCGCTGCGGCGCCGCGTGTGCGCAGCCTGTCGGGCGGCGGTAAGGCGAAGGAGGCGGCCAAGAATTGGGCCGGCGCGGGCGAGGGCCGCGGCGAGGCGAGCGGCGAGGAGGGGGCGAGCGAGGCGGAGGAGGGGGAGGAGGAGGCTCTGTTGGCTGGCGGCGGCGCGTCGAGTGCGCGAGGCGGGTGGCAGGCGGCGGGAGGGAGCAGCGAGGGGGACGAGGAGAGCGAGGAGAGCGAGGGGGGTGGGGAGGACGGGCTGGTCCTGCCGGGCAGGGCGCGCAAGGTGGCCTCGCGCAACAAGCTATTGCGGCTGCTCGACCGCAACACGGCCGAGCGGAGAGGCTCTTTCGCAAAGGCGACGCGCGAGGCGGGTGAGGCGGGTGCGGCGTCAGCGCGAGACGCGGGCTCTCGCGGCACGGGAGAGTGTCCTGAGCGTGTGGAGGTGCGGGCTGCTGTAGGCGCGCCTGCGGCGGAGGCGGACGACCTGCTCACAGTGAAGCGCACCTTTCTGCCGGCGGAGGAGGCGGAGGAGGCGGGCGGCGCTGCAGAGGGCGACGCGGAGGGGGCGGAGGGCATCACTGAGGCGGCCGCCGCCCCGCCGCGGCCGAAGAAGATTAAGATTCGCAAGGGTGGCACCGTGGCGGGCGGCAAGCGGACCGTCTTCGACGAGGATGGGAGGCCGCTAGAGGAGCGGCTCGGTGAGGCGTCGCCGAGATGTGCGGCTGGGATGCACAGTGGAGGACCCCCGCGGGGGGGGGTGGGACTCGTGCGTGGAGAGTGACTCGGCGAGAGCCGCGGCTGCCGACCTCTCCCTCCCCTCCCTCCCCAGGTGGCGAGTTCTCCGCCGTGGTCTCCGAGAAGGGGGCCGCTGCAGCGGCGCAGGACCCGGAGCTGCGCGCACGGGCTGTGCGCGAGGCGCTCGCCGCCACCGCCGACGCTGACCGGGAGCGCGAGCGGCGGCGGGTGCGGGAGCGGCACCAGCTGCAAAAGCAGAAGCGCAAGGCGGCGGTGGCGGAGGCGGACGGGCTCGATGCGCAAGGCGCCGCCTCCGAGATGTTTTCTCGACCCTTCCCGACCCTTCCTAGACGCAGTCGCGAGGCGTGCAGACAGCCCCTCACCCCTGGGCTCTTCTTCCCATGATGCAGGACGGCCGAAACAATCGGGCGGCGTGGCTGTGCTCGGCTCGCCTGAGGGCGACGAGGAGGGCGGCAGCGAGGGCGGCGAGGGCGGCGAGGGCGGCGACAGCGATGCGGGGGGCGCGGAGGCGCCGCCGCGCGCCGAGCGCCGTCGCGTCAAGCGGGCGCGGGTGTCGGCCCAGGGCGTGCGGAACGACGAGGAGCGCGCAGAGGATCTGCTGGCGAGGTTGCTGCCTCAGTGAGCGATATGGACTCCCTGACGAGCGCTCCTGCGCGGCGAGCGAGGTGCCAAGACGGGCAGCCAGGGGCACGGGCCCCAGGGCCACACCCGCCCGACCGTGTGGCCGCGTGCGTGACGGCGTGAGACGCACATGAGAGTTCCTCTTTTGTTCGCGCGAGTCATTAGTCGTCGAGCTCTCTCGCACTCCGGTTCGGAAAATAGCCCCATCGGGCTGTTAAAAAGTGTGGTGTGCGGCACGCGGCTGTGGCTGCTCGACCTCTCGCCGGAGCTGCTCGCCGTCGCCCAGCAGCGGGTCGACAGGCTCGGCCTCGCGCACCAAGTCACACTCCTCGTGGGCGACGTCAACGACGAGACGCTTCCGGGCCCGCCACCGCCCTCCCTCCTCCCCCTGCCCCCCCTCGCGTCTCGCCCCCCCCCCCCCCCTGCCCGGCCCCCTTCCCTGCCCCCAACCCCCTGCCCCTCTCCCCCGCTGCGGCGCCGTTAGGTTTTCTGCTGGCGCAGCTCGCCTCGGCGCTAGCACCCTCTCACCGCCCCGCCTCGCCCAACGGCAGGACTCCCGCCACGCGGCTCGCTCGACCTGGTCTCTTGCTCCTACTGCCTCAGCATGATCCCGCGCTGGCGCACGGCCCTCTCCGCCATGGTGCGTGCGTTGCGGGTCGGCGGCCAGCTCGCGCTCGTGGACTTCACCTGCCGCTCCGACGCGCCCAAACACTGGTCGCAGAAGCTCAACCAGTGGTGGTTTGCCAACGACGGCGTCTTTCTGAGCCGGGAGCACACAGCCGCGCTGCAGCAGCATGGCGCGCTGCGGACCCTCTGGTTCCACGAGAGCGAGCGGCGGGTCGTCTACACGCCGCTGCACGCAACGACGTACCTCTACGTCGGGCTCAAGGTGTCGGACGTGGAGTTTGATTGGTCTTGACTACGTCTCGAAGGGTTATGCCTTTGTAGGAAGGCTGCCATATGGAGGCTGCCTGTACGCTCTAGTATGTAGTAAGGACATACGTGACGTCGTAACTTTCCCTGTTCCAACTTCTAACAACGTTTCTACTCGTCTTCATCGGTGAACTCACACTTGGTGCGGAGAGGGCTGACAGCTCAGCACCAGTGCCACGTCGCACGTGCCACAGTGCAGCGAGCCACATACGCATCATACTGCCACCTCCACGCGCATATGCTTTTCGCCTGGGTGTCTATCGTTCTGCATATCCGCTCTCTGACCCTTCGAGAGAGCTCTGTGAATTCTCTTTTAGCACAACACTGGTCCCGTGCCCAGTGTTGTGCGAGGGAGTTTTGTTGAAAAATTCTCTTTTAGCGCATAGGCGGCTCCCCCTCCCGCGGTGTACCTGTGTTATAGCGCTGCCAGGGCGCGCCAGTCCCGTACGGGTACGTTCGTGCCCAGTCGTGTTGTTGTCTGCTCACGCAAAATGACATCAAAATGTTAATACACATCAAAGAATAACGTGTAGTCCACAGTGCTCACACAACGAGAATAATGCACAATAAGGAGAGAGAAGGCCATCACGCCGATCGCGCGCCCCGGGGGGCCATGTCCATGTTCGAGACATGAGGGATCGAATCCGAAGGCTTGGGCGGCGGGACGCGAACAAAAGGCGGCTATGGTTGGGGGCAAGTCAGCGCCCCCCCGGCTGGCACCGACGGCAGCATCGGGATGTGTCGGTGTCGGTAAGTTCCATGCAAGCCCACCTGCGGTGGCGGCGGGCCGGCCCGTTGACAACCCCAACGAGCAAAACGGGAGATGGAGGCGAGAAGTCAGCATCCCCACATGGAAGTCTGCTCTCGAGGAGCTGCTTGCGGCTTCCGTACTAGACAAGTGAGTGAGGCCGCCTTAGCGCCCACAGTTCCGAGATCCAGTGCCGCCGCAGCACCACCCGGAGCTGAGAGGGCAGAATCCAAACTCCCACTCTCCAAGGATGTTCTTGCACTCGCACCTGCCCGTGCAGTCGGAGTTGAGGGAGCAGCGGTGGTGGTCCGGGTGGTTGCCGCCAATCGGGTCGCGGAAGGGTCCACATTTCTTCAGAGCGCCGTACCAGTGCGACTCCCCCGACTGACAAAAGCGGCAAGGTGGCTCGGCGCCATCGCAAAGGACGCCATCGTGAAGGCTGAGCGTCTCACAGTTCGCTTGCCCAACTCCGCAGTATCTGAACACGACGTCCTCTGCCAACGAGACAGCGTCGTCGAAGCCACGCGACAAGTCTTTGCCGACCTCCTCGGCCATTTCGACGATCTCTTCGGCGAGCTCTGCGCACCCCTCAAATGTGTAATCTTGGAAGGCGTCGATCGCGTCCTGGCAGGCGCTCTCGGTCGTCACCTCGATGCTGCCGAGGTTGATCATCTCGACTGCCGACAGGGCGAGGTCCTGGAAGTTGACGTCGTACGGGAGGTCCACCCGGGTGAGCTTGGCGGCATGCTCGTTGAAGTAATCGAGGTGCGCGCCGCTGGGACAGACGCTGTCGATGGCTGCGATGGCTGCGACGGGCAGCACGTCCACGACATCGGGGATGGTGATGGCCGCGTTGGGCGGAACGATGTCTTGGATGGCGTTCGCAAGCGGCTTCACTACAGTCTCCTGGATGATTTCATTGGCCACATCGAGCAGCGTCTCCATAAGTGTCTTGATCAAAGTTCCGCCGAGTTCGTCGGCGGGGCACGAGACCAGCGAGGCGACAAGACCCGCCTTCTCGCCGAAGCTGGCAGCGCACTGGGCGGCATTTGTGTTCTCGAAGTCTTTGACGTGCTTCTCGACGTAGTCAAAGATACCGTTGAGCGCGTCGGCGAATCTTTCGATGGGGTCAAGAAGCTCTACCACCTTGACGACCTCCATGAGGGCTTCGTCAAGCGGCTCCAGGCCATCGTTGCACCCCTTTCCCGTCAGCGTGAGCGCCTGAAGAGCCTCGCTGGTGAATGGCCAGTGCACCTTGTTTGCATCCTCGATGGCGACGGCTGCGTTAGAGAAAGCTGTGTCGGCCGTGCGATCGTAGCCCCCATTCTCCATAATGCAGGTATTGACAACGTCGAGGACAGCGGAAGCGTCTGTGAGCAGCGAGGCCGTGGTCCCCGTGATGTCTGCAGTAGCCTGAACCACCGCGTCGACGTGCTGGACAACCTCATCAATCTTAATGGTCACGTTGTGGACCACCTTGGACGCCTTCGCGAGCGGAGGCTGGATCTTTTTGACCACAGTGAACACCACCTTGAGCACCTTGCCCACCTTCGGAATCTTGGTCAGAATCGGCTCGACCGGCTTGATCAAATTGAGGACGTCCTTCATCGTCTCCATGGCAGACTCGAAATTGCCAGCCACCTCAGTCACGGTTTCAGTGATTTCCTGGACCTCGCCGATGCTCTCGCCGATGCTGTCCAGCCGGTCGTCACAAGCCTGCACCTCCTCGCCGGCAGTCTTGAGGGACGTCACGAGCTGTTCCGTCACGAGCTCCTCAATCACGAGCTGCTCCTCCTGCTCGAAGGACTCCCGAGATCCATCGGCATCGACGAAGTCGGCGCAGTACTCTTTGCCGGCGATTTCGATGCTGCCACCGTGCCAGCCATCTCCGTAGGAGTCAGTGCAGGAAAGGGTGAAGGCGCCGGTGCCGATGCAGCAGTGCTCCGACGTTTCCGTGTTGTCGTCGTATGGGCCGCCAGAGCAGACGGCGTCGCCGGACGCATCGCGAATCGACCACGTCACCTCGGAGCCCCAGCTCTTCGTGTTGACGGTGACCGAGTCGACCGTGCACTGCTTGCGGAACACCTGGTCGCCTGCCCAGCCCCAGTCGATGCCGGGTGAGCGCGTGCATGCGGTGTACTTGGTGCAGAAGCGGTTGGCCGGGCGGAACAGCACAAAGGGGCAGTCGGGGTCGTCGAGGCACTTCTTCTGGCAATCCTCCGAGGTGGGCTGGTCGCCATAGTTGTTCCACGAGCCACCGCTCCAGTAGTTGCCGTTATGCTCGCTGCACATCTTGACGTTGTTGCCGTCGGTGGTGAAGGCGAGGCCCATGCCGCTCACGACCGAGGGAGGCGACAGCTTCCGGCCCCCATGCGAGGTCTTGTTGGCGGGCGTGATGTAGCGCGCGGTCAGGGTCGAGTCCGCCTTGGGAACGGCCTTGGTAGAGGAGAGGGTCTTGCGGCTCTCGGAGGCGCCGAGCGATTCCTTGTCGTCGACGATGGACTTGCTGGCCGTGTCGACGTCGGCGTACTTGAGGGTAGTCGCGACGTCCAGCTTGTCGGTCGGGATGGGTGCTCCGCGCGTGGCGGAGGCGGCGAAGGCGATCATCAGCAAGAGGCGGACCATGCTGTTGTCGGACGGGCGGCGAGAGTGAGTGAGGCAGCGACAGGAGGAGCGACCCGCGGCCAAGGGCAATGGCGACGCCGCACTGGCGGGTGGTCCGCCGCAGCACAGTGAAGTTGGCCGTGTGCGGCGGCAGCGAAAGTGGAAGACTGGAGGAGGGTGTAGCGAGCGGGCGGTGCGGTGCTGGGCTGGGGCGGCAGCACACATGGATGGCGAGACCTTTGCTCCTCGGCCTCGGCGTGATGTCCAAGTCACGCAAAAACGGCCCCCCCCGGGACAAAGGAGGGTTGAAGCACTCCGATAATCAAAGCGCGCGCATATTCTGCATCGACGAGACACAGGCATTCTTGGATGGTGGTTGAGGGCGTCCGCGCAACATGGACAAAGGAACAGCCCAGCAGGGACCAGGGTGGATGGATGGATGGAGCGACCTCTGCATGTGCATGGACATGCACATGACATGCACATGACATGCACATGTCATGTGCATGTGCATGTGCATGTGCATGTGCATGTGCATGTGCATGCGCATGTGCATGTTGTTGTGCGTACGCGCAGTCACAGGTCGCCCGCCGCGGGCAAGAAAAGAAGGACGCCAGCAAGGTCGCCGGTCAGAGAGAAAAGACGACGCGGGGTGGCACCATCTAACATCTCCACATTAAATCTTCTTTTGGAGAACCCAATCATAGTGGAGACCCACCCGGTGTCCTTAGATGGAAAACGCTTCCCCTAGATGGCGTTTCTCCGCGGCATCTAGGATGCGCATATCATCTGTAGATGGGGGAGTCGCCGCCCCTGAGGCTGAGCCTCTGACGGAGGTCGTCGGCGGAGGACGAGGACGAGGATGACCGGTTGACGAGGATCGAGGGGTGCGCGGTGCGGGCGAGAGGCCGGGTGGCCAAAACTGCGCGTGTTATTTTTGAGAGGTCGTCACCGTGAGACTCGAGACTTGCGCCACTTTGAGATACGGCTAACCTCTTGGCGCTGGCGCGACTCTTGCCGTTGGCTGACTGGCGCGAGAGCGCTTAGCGTTTTGCAGCGATGCGAAACAGCCCAGCACCCGCACGCGCGCTAGTCGGTGACCATGGCAGGGTCGGCCTCTGCGACGTAGCCAGCGTAGAAATCGAGCTTGTCGCGCACCACCCCGAGGTTCTCCTCCATCGAGCGGCGGCAAGCGTGCCACGCGGCCGCCTCCTCGCGCCACGCGCCTAGACGCCAGCCACTCCCGAGATGAGAGGGGGCCCGCCTCCCGGGGCGCCTTGCGCCGCCGCCGAGACGGAGGTCGCCGTGCAACGCCTCGTCGCGCTCGAGAGAGCGCCGCTGCGCCGCCGCCTCGCCGCGCAGAGCCTCGAGCAGCTGCTCGGCAGACTGCCGCTATAATACAACGCACTTGCGACCGACTATGGAGGACCCGTCGCCAGATCCCAGACGACGCAGGGCAGAAGACGGTGAGGCGGAGCAGACGCGCAGAGCGAGACGAGGGAGGGAGCAGGACTTTGCGGAGATCAGCAGGAGGATGTACGAAGAGATTAGGAGTAGCAGGGACCCGAGGGACCATGTGGAAGACGGCTAGTGCTACCTGCTAGTCGTAGTCCCCCACACCGGGAGGACGACCCCGGCTAGTCGCCGACCACACCCACAAAGAACCCTGCACAAAGATCGCAAGGGCGGGGACCTGTTCCTTTTTACCCATCTCACAGTAGAGAGGTGTCCGTTTTTATTTATTTAACACTTGCGCCACACGCTCTGCGCACACTGACAGCAGAGAGAGCAGGGCATCGAGAGCCAGGGTGTACGGTCGAGGTGTACGGTGCTCGACCATTAGAGATTAGTCTGTCTCAAGGCATTTGAGCTCAACCTAGGTGGCTCGGCGGAGCGGCGGTGGACACGCGCCGCGAACCCGATCGAAGGAGCGTTTCTGCGCGAGGGTTCTGTTTGAGTTGTCTTCCGCGCTGCTGCGCCGCGAGAGGGTGGACGGGGTGGTGGAGGGCGAGGGAGGCGTCCTCCCTCTGTGCGAAAGCATCCGTAGCTCGGCCTCACCGCGACAGAGGAGCTCCTCTACGCTGCGGCCCGATCCTGACCCACTGTCGATGGAGCAGTAGGTGGCCACCGCATCGCGCAGATCCCAACGGCAGGTGGGGCACGATGGGCAACGAGCGAGCCAGCGCGTGAGGCACTCCCGATGCGCTTTGTGCAGCCCACCACAGGGCATACACCCGACGCTCTGGCCGACCTCATAGCCCTCCAGGCAGATTGGGCAGGCGGCGCGGGCGCGCTTCAGCGCCGCCGCCGCGTCAGCCGACAGGGTGGCGTGCGGAATGCGTGAGTCGTCAAAGCGGAAGGAGCGCACTGAAAAGAGGTGCTCGTGAGCCGAGCGGACAGAGAACGAGTCCTGCCGATGCAGAGATATGTCGCCGCTCCAGAGGTCGTGGCGGACAGAGAAGGAGTCCTGCAGAGACGCGTCGCACCAGATGTCGTGGCTGTGCCGTGTGCAGCGGCGGAGCAATGGCGGCCGCTGCCCGGACGACATCAATGCTGCCCGGGAAGGAGAACGTCGGCGAACGTCCAGCCGCCCCGAGGCGGAGCGCGGTGCTCCAGTCGATTGGTCGATGCCTCCCCTCCTGTCGATGCCTCCTTCCTCTGGATTCCTCGCTCGCGGGAATTCTTTTTGCCCGCAACTAACGCCCACCCAGAGTACCCTAGGAAGACCGCGCTCGGACTTCAAACGACCCGGCAGACTTCTTTTTTTGCTGTTCCTACCTTACCGCCCCGGCGGCGCGGAGAGAGCCCCCCCCCCCCCCGCAAGACTATTCCTACCCGGTAGAGGACCTGGGTTGTTCGAGGCCTCGCCGCGTCGTGTGCCTGTACCTAGGTACCTCGCCAGGGCGCCGCGAACGCGTTCTAATGCGCGAGCTCAGCCAACTGGAGACGGCGCAGCTCCCGCTGCAGGGCTGGCTCGCCATGCGGGTGCCAAGCATGGCGTGGCTCACGACGCGCGGAAGCTGCTCGTTTACGCTCGATTGCCCTGTTGATGAATGTGCACAGATTCTACGCGCGGCTGTCGCCGAGATGACTACCGACCCGAAGCCATACAACTCATGGATGGAGGTGCAGCCAGCGACGGGGCGTACGCTGACTCTCTACACGGTGACGAAGCTCGGCTGGCTCGACCCGACTCTCCTCTCACTCTCTGCAGGGCCATCGGGCGGCACAAAAGTTAGCGCCGTCGGATGGTCGGCAGGGCTCCTCCCACTCACGGTGCCGGCCGCGCCACTGCTAAACGCGCTCCTCTTCTGGGTACCTTTCTCGGGCGTGTCCTCTATTCGTGTTGGACAGCTCCGGAGGCACTGCGAGGCCGCCGCCGCTTCGTGAGCTCCGGTGCGTCGCGTGGCGAGGTTGGGAGGTGATGAGACAGAGGTCGGATGTGTGTGTGTGGTAGTGGAGAGTGTGGGGTGCGCCCCACTATCTCCATCGCTCTCGCGTCTGAGTTTTGACCGTTTACTTTACCTTACTTTACACTCAAATGCACCGCGCATCATTTCTGGACGAATAACACTCCTCTACGTCTTTATCACCCCAGAACGCTCGCGATGTCATCAATCCGCTGCGAGATCAGGGCGTAGACGCCGATGGCTTTGGCCTGCTTCACGACCCGTCGTCGCCACCGCCGGGCCCACCGAGCCCACCGGAAGGCGGCAACAGCCCGCAACAGTCTCGCGGCCAGCGCCGTCGCGCGCCAGAGGCAGAGGCACGCGACGAAAAGGAGAGGGACGGCCTCAGACCGCAGCAGGATCTGGGCCGCGGGGCCCCGCCGCGCAGCCAGAACGCCTCGCGCGAAGCATCGAGCGCACGGCGCGGACGCATCGCTCAGGCGCGCCACCGCCGCCGTCGCCGCGCCGCTCGCGCGTGCACGTGCCGCGTGCGCAGCGACCGCGTCGTGCAGCGCCGACGCTGCCGCCTGCTCCGCCACGTCGGCGGGCGTGTCGCCGTCGCTTCCCTCGCCGGCCGAGCCCTCTCGTGCCTCCCTCCTCCGGCGCAGAGCAGCGCCCGCTTCGTCGGCGCCAACGCACCGCGTCATCGCCCCGCCGACGCCTGCGGAGGAGCGGTCGCCGCCGAGAAGCGCGACGCCCTCGCAGAGAAAGTCCGCGGCGAGTGCGCAAGAGGGGCCGCGCAGCACGCCGCAGCGGAGGGCGGGGCTGCGTGCCGCTGGCGCTCCCTCGGCGGCGCACGCGATGCGCAGCCGCATAGTGAAGGACCTCGGCAGCCGGTGGTTGGCCAATGCGAAGGGGCCCCCGTGGCGTGCCCGGGCCAGGTCCTCCCTTGTGCAGACCATCGGCAGGCGCGGCAGCGAAGCGGCGGCCTCCTCTATCAGCGTGGCGGCGGAGTGCGGCGGCGGCAGCGGCACCGCCGATGGCGCCCCGCCCCGCATCTGCAAGAGGAGTAGCCGAGGGTACGGAGAGTCGTCTCCCTGCTGCGCGGCTCCTACTGCCTTCGCGAGCTCAGCCTGGGACTCGGCGTCGATGGCGACAACGCGCGCCGCGCCTTGGAGTGCTTTCGCGGCAGCGGCCACTTCTCGCGCCGCCCGCTTGCAACGCTCGCGAGATGCACGTCGGGAGTCGGAGAGATGCACAAAGAGGATCACTGGCATCGCTGCGGGCGACAGAAGCTCGGCCGCGTTGAAGGGAGACGCCTCGGCAACGGGTGAGAGGCACCCAAAGGCTGGTCTCCCTGTCCGGCCGACGGCGACCCAGCGGACCCCGCGGGACGGCGCCCCTAAGTTCCGTGCCAACCGCGACCATTTGCCGCCCGGTCCACCCCCGCCAAGCACCGCATCCGCTGCCCGCTGCGCGTCGTAGACACGCCGCGCGTCCTCGTCTTTGAGTGTTGAGTAGGCGGTGTTGAGGCTTGCGAGGCGGTCGTTTGCCGCCGCCGTCTCGCCCACCTTGTCCGGATGAGCTTCTCGTGCGTGAGCTCGATATGCGCGCTTGATCTCGGCGAGGCTGGCGTCCGGGCTTACTCCGAGCACCGCGTAGTGATCTGCGAGCGGCGCGGGCGCTCGTCGACGCGGTGGCGGCATAGCTCGAGCGTGTCGCTCGTGTGGCGAAGGCGGCACGGTGGTGGAAGCGGCGGCCGTACACACACGAGCAGCCACCGCCAGGGCAGTTGCCGCGGTACGCGTCGGTCAAATTCTTTTTTGAGATTTTGCAAAAACGCCTTCGCTCGTGCGTGACGTCATCATCTGTCTAGCGTCCACCCATACCGCGTTGGTGTCCAGTCCGAGCCTGGCTGTTCTTCACCTTACTACCTACCTACCTACGCCTTGTGCGTTGCAAGCGCGGCCCCCCTCGTGGCCGCCCGGCGCGTGTCGACGCGATCACCCCGGCGCGGGAATGTCGAAGGTGTCGAATGCCGGACGATCTGCATCTGGCCGGAGCGCGGAGGAACCTACGACGTAGCACGTACGTCGTACGATCGAGTAATACGAGCCACGACCTACGTGTGTGACGTGTGGGGATTTTGCGGAGCGGGCAGCGGGGCAGCGGGCCCCGCACAGGGGAGTCCACATGAGGCCAGAACTCCACGTCTGAAATACACCCGAGTATATGTCTCTGATACTTTACCGGCAGCACGGACATGCGGGCGGGCGAAAGTACGCACCACTGCCGTCCTTGGTTGCGACGATCAAGGAGTGCACCGCCTGCTGCCGCCGGTCGCCCCCTCCAAACAGCGGCACGTTTGGCGCCGTTATGTGATGCACGGCCGCCCCTCGAAAGAGGCCCTGCACCTCTGCCGCCGAGAGGCTCCAGAGCGGGTCTCGGCCTGCGCCATCAAGCTCGGGGCGGTGCTCGCTGCACCGGAGGAGGACGCGCGCGCCCGGCGCCAGCAGAGAGACGAGCTTCTCCGTGTGAGCCGCCCGCCGCCCGCCCTTCGGGGGCGTGCGCGCCATCTCCTCGTCGAGCACTGCGGCGTCAGAGGGGAGGGGACGGGTTGGACAAAGGGCCAGGGGCGGGCGCTGTTTGTAAGAGCAGCGGCGGCGGCGGCGGCGGCTCGCTGCACCTCGCTCAAACGCACCGGCGTTGTGCGGCCCAAAAGCGCCATCGGCAACGTGGTCGCAGATATAAAGGGTGATCCGGTGCGGCTCCCGCGCTTGCCGGAAGGGCAGCGGCGCTGTGAGGTGCGCGACCTTGTCTGCCTGCATGAACCACGGCGGACGGTACTGCGTGGTCGCGACGTCGTCAAACTCGACTCCCAAGTCGAAGAACGCGGCCAGCAGGCTATCGTGCTCGTCTCCGGGAACAGTGGCGACGACCTGGCCGCCACTCACAGAGATCATGTCTTGCAGGAGCAATGCCATCTGCGCGTCACGTAGGTGTGGAATCAGGAGGCGAAGCCGGGACACCGAACCCTCAGAAGGCTCATCGCCAGCGTCGAGCCAAGTAGTCAGATCTGTCCCAGCTGGGTGCGTCAATTCCAAGCTGCCGCCGCAAGGAGGGCAGCACTCCATGTCTGCGAACGAGGTTGCGGAGGCGAGCGGGTCGTACAGCCAGCCGCAAGAAACGAAGCCTCGCACTGCTGAAAGCGCCGTATATATTTTCTTCTCCAATAACAAGGCTGTGAAATCCCTGTGTAGGTATATTGTGTGGTGGCGGCGTGCCGTCCTCCCACCCCTCCTTTGTTGGGGCATTTTCTTTCTTTCTTACACTGGGCACGGGACTGGAAGAGAACAAAAAACTCTCTGATTCTCTGTCGGGACTGGCATGAAAAAGAGAGGGAGAAAAATAAATATGTATATAAGTAGAGGAACCAGTGGAGAAATATACAAAAATAAAGCAAAAATCCTAAACGTCTGTAGGGGATCGACGATGAAGCAAAGAAAGAGGAAAGAGAAAGGGTCGGCCGGGGGGGGGGGGGGGTTCCGGGAGGGGGGGGGGGGGGGTCCCCCCCTCTGGGAAGGTTTGGCCAACTCGGGGCGAA